GCAATGTTGTTAGAGGCAGCACATGGTGTTCTGTTTGTGTTTGTACGTGTGCGCATGCAGAGAGTCTGAAATAGTGTGTAGAAGCAATTATCCAACGATTAAAGCACTTAAAGGAAGGGCTGTTTTTTGCTTCTCAGTCATTTAGTTTCTGAATTCCATCATTCCAAATCTCTTTTTTTCCCCACCCATCGCTGAGATGTTTTCTGGCTCTCTTGTGCACATTCATTACTGTCAAGGGCTTCTGGTGTGTTTGAAAATGTGCACCCTGATCCATCGGAAACCTAAAAAAAATCCAGTAGAAAATGTCATGACAAACTAGATGGGCTTTACAGGAAAGGATTGCTTCTGAAGGCCAAATCCTGTATAGACACGTGCTTTAAATTTTGTTTAGAATGGTGTCAAATGAGAAAAGCTTTGTGGAATTAAATTCACATTTTTAAATATAGTGTAAGACTGTGAAAGTAACAAACCATCTAAAAATGCCACGAAATATGGAAAAAGAAAATATAGACAGCAATCCTGATCCGCTCTGATGATTACCATGTAAGGTTTAGAATGACCAGTCTTGTCGAGTAAATTATGACTCTGCCTATCGGACACTTTTTTCCTTTATTTTATTTGACCCAGATTTTATTTGAGTGAAGCCTTTCCGCTCTGTCCTGTTGCACAAATGGACTCCTCAGAAAATCCAGCAAGCTGAAAACCTGCATTAACTTTTTTTTGGCTACTTCTAGAAATTTTTTTGGCAGCGGAAACCAGCTGTTGAGATTGAGAATGTGTTAGCAAGCCGTTGCCTATTTACTCATCCACTGGCTTTAGCTTTATTTCAGTTTCCACCAACTCCTGAAGGAAATGCCTGGCTCTTAAGGTGCAAAATGCTCCACTATGTTCACCTGCTAGTTGCTAACTTTGTCTGTCAGATGTTTGACGTTATGCAGGTGTGCAGTGGATTTAACAGAGATTTGTTTTAGGGGTTTTTTTTGGTAGAAAACAGCCCTAAAACCGAAACAATGAGCTGAAAGATGCTAAAATGCTCCATAGAGCTGATGGGAAATTCAGTGTCAGCTAATAGTTATTGCTGGGTTCATCGTTTATATATTATATTTATTACAGCAGAAGTTTTGTTGTCACAGTGAGTTTGCCAGGTGTGGTCCCATCATGCCTGTACAGATATCAAATTATTATATCTGTTGTTTGTAAAGTAATGTTAGAATCCCAAATCTTATATCTTTTTTACATTTCTATTTAAGTGCAGGTAAAAACTGAGACACTTTGTAAATGAGACAGTTATGGAGAGTATTTTTGAACTTTGGACATAGGGGTGCCAGATGTTTCCCCCTGTTCCCAGTCATAATGCTAAGCTAGGCTAAAAATGTTCTGCCTTCAGCTCAATATTTAATGCACAGATATGAACTTAACATCAACCTTCTCATCTCACCCTCAAAAAGAAAGCAAATAAGGCTTAATCCCTTTAAGGCCAAGAAATAATGCTAATTTGCACAGTGTATGCCCCGAGCTGATGAAATCAAGAAGCACAAGCACAGGCTCTAAAGAAACCCATACAGGGGGTATTTATTGAGGTGTTGATTTCTATTTACTTAAGCTCACTTTGTGTCACTCTGTTTAATTACAAACAATAAATGAACAAGATCAATACCACCAAATAAATGAAGTGAAGCATATTTTGAGAGGGGAATATTGAGCAAAACACTTCAGGCTGTTTCATTGTTTCGTTACCCAAGTTGAGCTGGAACCACATGGGAAAGTTGAAGGACTACAGAAAACATACCACAAGACAAAGTAGCACAGCCATGAACTCAAATTGAAGGGTTTGATTACACTGATTTAGTCATTCTGAATGTGCTTATTTTCATGCCATTTCAACAACACATGGCACGACTATAGTCTCCCATAACCATGAACTGCAGTGTATTGATTTGCCATATGTACTGAACTAAATGTGGTCTTATAGAGTCCCACAAATGCACCAAATGTTATTTTATATTTGTTATCAAACTTACCACCGGACTTTCATATACGAAATGTCACAGTTCATAAACTTTAGGAATTGAATTATTTGTCCAAATATTGCAGAATGATTTAAAATAAATTGTTTGACATTTTTGGAAAGTTGCTCATATGCTTTCTTTCCAAAATACCCAGAATTAGATGAGAAGATCGATACCTCTCTCCTGACAATAAACACGAAGCTATCACGAGCAGATGGCTAGCTTAGCTTAGCATTAAGGCTGGACACAGGAGGAAACGGTTAGCCTGACAAAATCTGCCTATCAGCCTCTCTAAAATAAAATGGCTCTTTAAATAACATCTTGTATATTATTTGTTTAATCTGTACAAAAACCAAAGCGTAAAAATAAAAAACCTTTTGCTTTTATGGTGGTTTCACCTTTGAGCAGGACCTGGCAAGCTGTTTCTCTCTGTTTTGAGTACTAATGCTAAGCTAGGCTAACTATTTCCTGCCTCCAGCTCTCTATTCAACACAGAGTCATAACACTGAATTTGTATCCCCCTTTGTCCAGTCTCTGTTTCCACTCTCTATGCTAAATTAAGCTTAGCTAACTAACTGGGTTGGTTTTTTTTATTTAGCCTACAGGCTTAAGAGTGGTATCGATCTTCTCATCTAACTTTAGGCCGGAAAGCAAATAAATCTATTTTCCGAAATGTCGAAATATTCCTAATGTGTTTTTAGGTAAGTAGCCTGTTACTTAAAAGATTTCATTTGGAGATCTTTCTGCCGAGTCTGCCATCCTCCGTCTCTATCTGTAGATAATCTGAACTCTGATCTTCCCTCATCAGTTGGCTCAGCTAACTGAATATCATTCTCTCTAGAAGACAGCACACACACACACACACGCACACACACGCACGCACACACGCAGTGAAGCCAGTGTGATGCTACATCACAAACAGAAGACAAGGCCACACTTTGCTGTGGTAAACAATCCAATGTGTTCTTATGAAATGAATGTGAGAGAAAGTTATGGTGACCTGCTTGTTGTTTAGTTAGAGGATTGCCTGCAGTGTGTAAACTTGTGGATTGAATCCGGCTTCTTTGTGGTTCAATGTCATGCTAATAGAATATATCAGAGAGAGAATCCCAATCTGAAGTTAACCACAATGTTGAATGTGGCTCTCTTGCTTTTTCCCACAGGACAAGCAGCTTCATTACGAAGCACCGTGGTCTCCTTTTCATCTCGGTGAGATCACCCCTGTGGGGAGTATCAACACTGTCTGACGCTCTCTTGTCCCTGTTTAAACATTGAAATAGTGTTCGGCCATATTGTTGTGTGCCGCTGTTTTTTTTTTAATCTGGTCTGCTTCATAATGCAGCTGCTTGGAAACTGCCACAGGACTGAAAGATCTCAGCGGAGAAAGGAGATGATCAATTTCTGAGGGAACCCCCCCCCCCCACACACACACACACACAACCCTCATCTCAAAACCCTCTCCCCCTGACCCCTCCACCTCCTCCTCCTCACTTCAACTAGCCATAATTATTTTGCAAAAGAGCTCCAGAAAAAGAACACGCAGAGTAATTTCTCCTGCCCAGTTATGAAAAGCTCATTAAAATAGGCCTGGAACAAACAAAGCTTTTCCTGTGAGGCCCCTTTTCAAATTCATTTCATAATTTCCCACTGTTTTAATCATTTATATCAATTAATCATTCCTTGGTGGAAAAGATATTCTTTGCCATCTTCTGTGTTTTTTTGTTCCATAGTGAGTGAGAGGCTTGATGAGAGTGTCAAGAGAATGTGGCTCAAACCAAGGTGGAGTAGCATTGGCTTTGCCAAAGGGAAATCAGCTTGATGCAGCACAATCTCTTTGGAGCTGCACGAATAATTAAACAATTAAAGTCAAGAAAAAGATCATCTTTATACATCTGATGTCTTTCTAATGAAGCCAGGGGCATCTTATAATGAAGCTGTTTTGTCATGTAAAACCACTCAGCCTGGTGAATCTCAAACAACTTTTCTATTTGGAACTTTTCTCCAATAGCAACACTTTCAAGTCAAACTGAAGACGTCACTTGTTTTTCAAGATCAGAACAGTTTCAGGCTGCTCCACCGCAGTGCTTCAGCTTTTCTTTTGCTGACTCTAAAAGAGGAGGAATTCCCTCCTCTGTCAACATCATGTTGGAAAACGTGCCAGCGCCACACTACTTTTATTAAAAGGTGTTGCAATTGCTCCCAATATATCTTGTCTTTGAAGTCTCACATGATGGTGAAAAACTCCAAACTGTACGACAGAATGAATTAAAGGATCTCAGCCAAATCCAGGTCTTGCAGATTAGCCTTAATAGGTGTTGAAACCAATGACCTGAGGCTTAATGAGGTTGTAAACGACAGCAGACCTTGCTGCGATTATTTCCAGTGACAGACGATGGCGCCACTACGCAGCTATTAGGCCTTGATATTTCCCAGAGGTTGGAGTCACCCTCGGTAAACTAAGTAGTTATTGAATGTCAACTAATTAAACTCAGACGTGAGATGAATATAGTTCACTGGATGTTGCCATGCAGCTAGAATTTAGAAAAATGTTTAGCCTACTCTTCTATGAAACCAGTCAAAAAGGAAATCCATCAGTTTTATCAGGATGATATTCAGTTATCACAGCCAATCACTCCCTTTAGGAGTATTCTAGACGATTAAATGAGACAATAAATTACACTATTTATTATTGCGACTAATTAAACAGTGTAATCACCAAGAATGGGACTATTACAAGGGTTGTTCTTGTTGTCTCGCAGCCTCCCCGGGCTGTCCCTCTAAATGTTTTTAAGTGTACATTGGACACTCGTCTCTTCGCACCTCTCCGGTCCATCTCTACCGTCCACCTCCCGTTTCCATCCTCCTCTGCGTGTCCAAGTCAATCTCGCCTCACCTCTGATTGGCTGCATTTGTTATTCCTGCTAAATGGACTGCGCGCCGATTGGCTGCGGCGGCACCTTCGTCACGCGGCTAAAAGGGGTTTTTACTGGAGGTTTCTTCCTGTCAGCGACACATGTAGAACAAGCAGCTAACGGGACCCAGAGAGCAGACGGGAGGACAGTCAATTATAGCCTCTCTGCCAGCCTCGTTATTTCTTCCCCCTTTCTTTTTGCCCAAACAAGCACTTCTCGCTCTGAGGAAATTACGGCATGCGTAGACCTGTAATTACGTCTTGCAATGGACTCCTTTTGTTCCAGCGAAAAAACGAGCAGTAAAGCAGCAACAGTAAAACGGGAACCGTCCAGTGGAAATACTATCTGTTAACTCCATTTGCTCGGTACTCCGCTTGTTGCCATCCGAGCTCGAGTCCTCGCTGAGGTCCGCTGTCGCGCGGAGCTGGAGGCCGACCGCGCGCGATAGTGTCCGCGTTCTACCTGTACTTTTTGGGACTGTTGCAGCCAACCTGTTTACCTTCCTCCGCTTCAAGCCATTAACTTCACAGCCATTACACTTAAAAGAGACAAACGAGGTGGGTGTCGGTTGATATTACAGCTGTGTTGCATGTCGACTCGTTAAAATGTCTGTTTTATTCTTTCTAATTGCGGCTAGTTTACACTGGAAAACTAACCCCGTTGTGTCTTTCTGGTATGTGTTTTCTTTTAAGAATGCTAGCGGTGATACCTGATAGCCTGTGTTATTCTTGCGACATTACCCTGCTCCTCCTCCTCCTTATCGCCTATTTACGCATTTACTCCGCAATAACACCAATGTGATGCTACATTTCTTTCATTTTCCATCAAACAGCAGCAGCAGCCAGCGGACAGGACCTTTTATAGCACATGGCTGCCTGATATGTTTTTTCCCTCTCTCTCTCTTCTATTTCCATGACTTGGTCTCTGCGCCCAAATTGCCTGCCCGTGTAATTACTTGAGTTAGCCCATTTAAGTTAAAAGCCACCCCCCTTCCCCTCCTGTCCCCTCCGTCCCTCAGCGGGGGAAAAAAAAAGAAACTCCTCTCTGAATGAAACTTGACGATGGTCCGTCTTGTTTATCCAGGGAGTCACTTTCAGGTCGGCCTTTTGATTCATCTCCTTTTAGATTTAATCAGCACTAAGGTACGCTGTGGTTTGTCCCTAAGAGCCATCGCTAATGGGCTTACTGAATGCTTTTCTGTGTGCCCCCCCCCCTCCTCCTCCTCCCCTCCCAAACCCTAATTAGCCTACCTGCCTTTCAACAAAGATTTGGCTTTATCCATGTAGTCTGCCTGACCAAATTGGAGAGGATTACATTTGAACGAACCCACATTAATTTTGCGGGTGAAACAAATGCCCGCATTGCATTAGATTAGAACACTTAGCATCGTTACGGCAGGTCTGTGGTGTATCAGGGCTGTGTCCTGTTAAATATTGGTTTTTAGTTGCAAGACAGATCATATTCGTGGCTCAGGTCAAAGGCCAAGCAAGCATCAAGTGTTGGTGAACACAGAACCAATAAGCCAAACTGTTTGACATGTCCGTTTGAACCTTTTCATACAGTATTCCTTTGTGTTTTGCAGTAATCACCACCTTCCAGCTATTCAAACTGCAGTAGAGAGAGGAATTGTGTGGTGAAGTATTGCACTATTTAGAATTTCTTAGGACAGCTCAACAAAAGCCCATGCTGCATAATTGTCCCTTTGGCTCCCGGTGTTATCAGTTAACAGACATTCATCATGAGAGGTCCAATGAAGCAACAGCATGGGGATGAGACGGAGATCAAGGGCAGATTAGTTCACTAAATGACTCGTAGCTCTCTTGTAGCTGAACAAAACTCCAAACTGTTCCCTTTATGAGATCAGCTATTGTGCTTTGGCTCCATTTGCAGCCTGCAGCCGTTCAAAGACCACGCTGAAGCAACTTCAAAGGGCTGGAATTCTACATTTGATAATTGATAAATTCACATGTAGCGCGTGGTATACATGATCTTATTACCCGGTCGCACAGGGATCCAACATAGCCCTGTGACCCTTCCCAGGTCCTGACCTGGTTGTATACAAAACAAGACTTGCCTGGGTAAAGTATGAACAGCAGCCTTCTGGGTGTGACATCGTAACATTATCTCTTCTGTGTGTGTGTTTTAGGGACAATGGTGAATCCCGGAGGCAGCAGCCAGCCACCACCGGTGGGCACAGGTTCTCTGTCCTGGAAGCGGTGTGCAGGCTGCGGGGGCAAAATCGCAGACCGCTTCCTCCTTTACACCATGGACAGCTACTGGCACAGCCGATGCCTCAAGTGCTCCTGCTGCCAGGCCCAGCTGGGCGAAATCGGCACGTCGTGCTACACAAAAAGCGGCATGATCCTCTGTAGAAACGACTATATCAGGTGAGGAAAAGGCTGGAATGCATGCACCCGTTTTAGACGAGCACTCGT